TAAAAACACCAAATTTGTGTTTCGATTTTTGGCCACTATTCACGAAACGTTCCGGCACTGTGAAAAAACAAAACATTTTTCACTGAACAAGTTTTTTTTTTTCCAAAAACACTACTACAATACCCAACCAAAAACAGAAATACCAAAAAATAAAACACGTACGAAACCGGCCCTTAATATTCTGGATTTAATATGCTTCAATACTTCAAAAACTAAACTGATTTAGCACAATGGCGAAGCAGCAGAGTAAGTGAAAACAGTTTCTGGGAAACTATGGGTATGTAACAGAAAAAATTGTCCCTCAGTAGGATTTTTTTTTGTTTCTAGTGAAAATCAAGTGCCCGTACTAAATTTACAAGGAATGAATTTGGCTCAATAGATGGAAGTTGCCCTTATTGCCTTGCACATTTTTGTTCAAAGAGTCAACTTCCATATTGTTCTATTACAACGACAACGTCGAGAATCGCTGGACAATTGCTGCTCTCCTCCTTTGCTCATCCTATGCCCAAAAAAAAAAAAAAATGTTTATTGTTAAAATTTCTCTCAGAGAGTTTACTCTTGCACCTTTCCCTTTCAATAATGAAAATCTCTTGCCTCTCAAGAAATAGAAAAAATAAAAAATGGGAATATGAAATAACAAAATATTTTACGTAGTTAAATATTTCTAACTACTGTGAAAATTTATTCACACTAACAAATATGAACATAATCAAGTATTAGTAGAGTTAGAATAGTTATATGTAAATATATATTTATGTTGGGGTCAGATTGTATTTAGATATAGGGTTTGTGCCCATTATGCAAATAGGCCTTTCTTGTATTGTATATTTACCCTTTTATGTTTAGGGTTGGAGAGTATGAATGAGAAAAGTACTGCGCCTCCATCTTTCACTGCATCATCTCTCTCTCTCTTCTCTTGCAATTTCACATGGTATCAGAGCGTCGATCCGGCCATTGATGTTGCTACCGCAGTACTAGGGTGTGTACTAGCTCATGAAGATATCGTCGTGCGTTGTCGATCTAGCCATTTTTTTTCCTCTTCATCGACAATCATTTCTGGACTGTCGGCGAGGAGTGTGCAAATCCGACATTTACAGAGATCGACTGTGCTGTGTAGCCCACCGACGACCTCTCCGTTTGCTGACGCTGGTGGTTGTCGTGTGTAGTCGCCGTGGTAACTGATTTTGTGGTCAGCGACTGCGTTTGAGACTGAGTGTGGGTCTTTGTTGTAGCCGAGAGCTTTGCAGAGGCTTCATCATCGTCCCTTGGCTGTTAAGCGTCTTGTGGTCTTGATTCTCCATTCTGGACCTCGGATCCTTGTTTACTTATTGTCGGCAGTAGATTCTAGTTCTCGCCGGCACTGATTGTGAAGAAGAGGGGTGGTGTTTGGCTGCAGGCGTAAAGTTATCCCAACTGTGGTTTACTAAAACCAGGTTTGCAGAGATCCGATTCTGGTTCAACCCGTTTTGGAATCCAACTCGTTTTGGGCCCGGTGCGCTCTATTTCTTCCCGGGACATTAAGTTTTTTTCTTCTCGATTCATCATGTCAGACTCTTCTCATCCCTCTCTTTGCCACGGCAATTCACCTCTTAAGGCTTCTGTATTGCTGCCTAATGAAAACATCGCAATATCCCGAGCCGAGTTCCATGCTATAGCCCATTCGACAGAACCCACATCTCTTGACAGTGTTGCCAACTTTGCCCAAACAGGTAATGTTGTGTGTTTTTCAGAATTCCAGTCTTCCTCTTCCTCTTGGATTCTTGACTCTGGGGCATCTACCCATATAACGGGTAATCAATCTCTTTTGTTATAAAGTTTAATTCTCCTTCTTTTGTTACTTTAGCCGATGGCAGGACTCGTCCCATTATTGGACAAGGTACACTTCAATTAACGCCTTCCATCTCGTTATCTCATGTGCAACTTGTTCCTCAGTTTCTTTTCAATTTATTATCTGTGAGTAAGATTACTGAAGCACTCAATTATTCCGTGACCTTTTACCCCTGATTTTGTGTCTTTCAGGATCTCAAAACAAAGAAAACAATTGGTAGAGGCATTGCGAAAAATGGTCTCTATTACTTGGATTGTGAGTTGCCTACTGGTGGTACTGCCCTCCATTCACAGATCTCTGCCAATGCCCACCAGTAGCATTATCGGTTGGGTCATCCATCCTTGAGGTACTTAAAGTCTGCCATTCCTTCTTTTGGGTCAGTGTCTACTTTAGAATGTGAGTCGTGTCAATTAGGCAAGCACCATAGAGTCTCGTTTCCTCCCCGAGTTGATAATCACCGATCTTCTTTATTTGAATTGGTATATACTAACATTTGGGGTCCTGTGTGTCATGTGAGTAATTCAGGTTTTTCATATTTTGTTACCTTTGTTGACGACTATTCAAGGATAACTTGGCTCTTTTTAATGGAAGAACGGTCTAAACTTTTTTCTATATTTAAATTATTTCTTAAAGAAATTGAGGTTCAATTTGGCTGTGTTTTAAAAATTCTCCGATCTGATAATGCTATGGAATATGTCAAACGTGCTATTTCTACATTTTGTGTGTCTCATGGTATTTTACACCAAACTTCTTGCTCTTATACTCCTCAACAAAATAGCGTAGCAGAACGAAAAAATAGGCATTTAATTGAAATAACTCAGACTTTAATTATCCATATGCATCTTCCAAAACCATTTTGGGGCGATGCAGTTTTAACTGCTTGCTATTTAATTAATCGTATGCCATCTTCCATTCTTAACTGGAAATGCCCTTATTCTGTTGTTTTTCCTACTCGACCGTTATTTGCATTTACTTCTCGTGTTTTTAGGTGTGTGTGCTTTGCTCACATCTTACATCCTTGGCACTGATAAATTGTCTCCTCGTGCCATTAAGTGTGTCTTTATCAGGTACTCTCGGACTCAAAAAGGTTGTAAATGTTGGGACCCTAACACTCGTCGTGCTTTTGTGTGTATGGATGTTACCTTTTTTAGGACACTCCTTATTTCTCTGCCCGTGGTTCATCTTTAGATACGAAATTGTTGCTTCCGCTACTAGTTGTGTCTACTTCATTAGTGTCTGTCACACCACAACCTTTTCCAGTGTCACCGCCATTTCAAGTGTATAGTAGACGACCACGAGTAGCAGCCCCCCAATTGACTACTTCTATTGAGGCTCCTGTTGCTGTTGATGATCTTCCTATTGCCTTACGTAAAGGTACTCGATCTTGTGTTACTGCACATCCTATTTCTAACTTTGTCTCATATAATCATGTTTCACCCACTTTATCTTATTTTTTATCCAAACTGTCTGCTATACTTGTTCACAAGACTTTGCAGGATGCTCTTTCTCATCCTGGTTGGCGACAAGCCATGATCAATGAAATAGATGCTCTTCATCATAATGGGACATGAGATCTTGTTCCCTTACCTCCTGGTTCCAAACCGGTTGGTTGTAAGTGGGTCTACACTGTCAAATATCTCCACGATGGTTCTATTGAGCGTTTGAAAGCTCGTCTTGTTGCAAAGGGGTACACTAGACTTATGGTGTTGATTATGATGAGACTTTTTCCCCAGTTGCAAAAATTTCTTCTATATGGGTCCTTATTTCCATTGCTGTTAATCGTAACTAGCCGTTATTTCAATTAGATGTGAAAAATGCTTTCTTATATGGCAACTTAGTTGAAGAAGTTTATATGGAACAACCACCTGGGTTTGTTGCTCAGGGGGAGTATCGTCATACTGTTTGTCGCCTTAGAAAGGCACTGTATGGATTGAAGTAATCTCCAAGGGCTTGGTTTGGAAAGCTCTCTGCGGCAGCATTAGCATTTGGTCTTAAGAGATGTCAGATAGATCATTCGGAGTTTCACCAGCGCACTAAAGCTGGGTTCATTTTCCTTGTGGTATATGTAGATGACATTGTGATCACAGGTGATGATTCTGAAGGTATTGTTAAATTAAAGTTGTTTCTACAAAATCAGTTCCACACTAAAGACTTGGGTCAACTCAGATATTTCTTGGGTATTGAAGTTGCTAGATCCACGAAAGGTATAAGTTTATCTCAAATAAAATATGTATTGGATTTATTAGAAGAAACAGGTATGTTGGGTGGTCGTCCTGTTGATGCTCCTATGGATCCAAATACAAAACTCTTATCAGATGAGGGTGATCTATTTGATGATTTTTGCAAATATTGACGGCTTGTTGGGAAATTAATTTATCTCGCTATCATTCGACCGGATATCTCATATGCAGTTAGTGTTGTAAGTCAGTTCATGGGATCTCCTAGGATGCCACATTGGAATACAGTTCTTCGGATTATCCAATACCTCAAGCAAGCTCCAGGTTTTGGGTTGCTATATAAACTAAATGGATATCTTAGGGTAGAAGGTTTCACAAATGCTAACTGGGCAGGTTCTCCCTCAGATAGGAGATCTACTACAGGCTACTGCATATTTATTGGTGGAAATCTTGTTACATGGAAAAGTAAAAAGCAAACAGTGGTAGCACGATCTAGCACTGAAGCAGAGTACAGGGCAATGGCCCATACCTCTAGTGAGTTAACGTGGATACAACACTTTCTTGAGGAACTTGGGTTAATAGTCAAGACTCCTATTCCATTGTTCTGTGATAACCAAGCAGTTGTTCACATTGCATTTAATCCGGTATTTCATAAAAGAACGAAGCATATTGAAGTTGATTGGCACTTCACTTGAGATAAAATATTAAGCGGGAACATTTCTACCCCATTTGTGCAGTCTGAAGATCAATTAGCTGATATGTTTACTAAGGCTCTTGGTCATAATCGGTTAAAAGCGATTTGTTCCAAGCTGGGATTATATGATATATATTCTCCAGCTTAAGGGTAGGGGTGCACCCGGTTCCGGTTCTCACGGTTCCGGTTGGAACCGGAACTGTTCATGACGGTTCCTTGAAACCAGAACCGAAACCGGAACTGGAACTGGAACCGTATAGTATAAAACCGAATCGGAACTGAACCGTAGGTTCCGGTTCGGTTCCATGAGAACCGTTAACTATTTGGTTTTTTTTATTATAAGCTTGTACTTCAAAAACAATTTTTACCAAGCTGCAACAACAATGAAAACTGTAATGAAACTTTTGCATAAATCAAGCAATTGTTGTACTGAATCTCACTTGGTTTTATAAGCACTAAAATCACCATAACAGAGAAAAAATAAATTTAAAAAAAAAAGAGAGATGAAGAAGAATGGAAAAAGTCTCAAATAAAGGCTTGTCTAATGGAGAAAAAAGAAAAGGAAAAGGAAAAGCAAACAGAATACTCGTTACCAACGAAAGTTCCGGCGATCGACTGAAGAATTCTCTTCTCTACCTGAACGCAGTATATAATCATGCCAATACGAGAGAGAGCTACAAAGATGAGAGAGAAATTTATTAAAAAAAAAAAAAAAAAACTGAATATATATATATATACACACACACAAACCTACTTAGAAATCAACTACTTGCAACCGTGAAGGAGCGTGATGAGATCTGGGTAGCCGGCGCCACTGCTGTGAGAGATCAGACTTCAGATCTATTAGAACTTTAGATGAGACATTGAGAGTAAACGAGGACTGAGAGAGTGAGAGATTTAGGGCAAAAAAACTAAACAAAAATAGGTTTTTTAGTCACGGCCCAGTTTATCTTTACTTTTTTTTTAGTATAAAATTAAATATATAATACATATATATATATATATATACGGTTCCGGTTCTTACCAGTTCCCACGGGCTGGAACCGGAACCGGAACCGTGTGTTCACAGTTCCTAAATTCGGAACCGGAACCAGAACCGTGAAAAACGGTTCCGGTTCATACGGTTCCGGTTCCGGTTCCGGTCCTACGGTTTCGGTTCTTTTGTGCACCCCTACTTAAGGGGGAGTGTTAGAATATTTATATGTAAATATATATTTATGTTGGGGTCAGATTGTATTTAGATATAGGGCTTGTGGCCATTATGCAAATAGGCCTTTCTTGTATTGTATATTTACCCTTTTATGTTTAGGGTTGGAGAGTATGAATGAGAAAAGTACTGCACCTCCATCTCTCACTTCATCATCTCTCTCTCTCTCTACTCTTGCAATTTCACAAGTAGCATATGATTTATTCAATTGTAGTTGTTCTACAACTAAGAAGATACTAAAAACAAAGGGGTACACAACTCTTCTTTTTTTTTTTTTTTTTTTTTGATAAGTAAGAAAAATTTTATAAAAGCGCTCAAAAGGGGAACGAAGCCCTGAAAATATACACAAGGCCACAAAGGACCTTTAGGCCTTCAAAGAAGCCAAAAAATCGACAATTTCGTCTAAAGATCTATGATTTCTTCCAGAAACCCAATAAAAAAGGGTGGAAATGATAGAGAATTTAAGAGTAGAAATTGACAATTCCTTCCTATTAAAATATCTTCTATTCCTCTCGAGCCAAATACACCACCACACACAAAGAGGCGTAGCCCTCCAAGCATCCAGAATGTGAGCCCCCACATGGCAACCTCTCCAAGCCTCAATCAACCCTCTAACGGATCCAGGCATAACCCAAAGAATTCCAAACAAGCCAAACATCAAATTCCAGCAGTCTCTAACCATGTTGCAATGGAAGAGAAGGTGATCCACAGATTCCTCATCCCGAAGACACATATAGCAGCGATTGACCACCCCTTGATTTCTCATTCTCAAATTATCCTGGGTTAAAATCCGTCCCAGAACAGAGGTCCAAGCAAAAAAACCCACCTTGAGAGGAGCCTTAGAGCGCCAAACAGCCTTCCAAGGGAAACGAGCTCTATGATCATCCGTGAGGCATCTGAAAAAGGATCTAACCTCCAAGCGCCCATGAGAGGTGGCAGCCCAGGACCAATAATCAGAAATCCCATCCACAATCCTCTGGCGATACAACAACTCCAGAAAACGAATGCCCTCCTTAATCTCCCAATCCTGAAACAACTGCCTGAATCGAACATCCCAAACCAGTGACCCACTGTCAAAATGATAGCAGTTAACCACTATGGCCTACCTATCCATAGTAATCCTGAAAAGATGAGGAAAAGAGGTGGCGAGAGGAGAATCCCCACACCAAACATCCTCCCAAAAGCTGATCCTTGTGCCATCCCTGATTCGAAAACGAACGTGTTTGGAAAACACATCCCAACCCTTCCGAATGACTTTCCAAAACCCCACACCTCGAGGGCCACGCACCTCCAAAGAATACCACCCTCCTCTAGACTCCCCAAAATGACAAGCAACGACCCTCCTCCAAAGCCAATGCCTCTCCACACCAAATCTCCACAACCATTTCCCAAGGAGAGCCTTATTAAAAGGCACCAGTCTTCTAAGACCCAAACCTCCGTAACGAATTGGCCTGCACATCTGTTCCCAACAAACCAGATGGAACTTAAACTCTTCACCTCTCCTCCCCCCCCCCCTATAGAAAATTACGCTGCAATCTCTCAATCCTCTCCACAACTGAAGAGGGAATCTGAAACAGAGAGATAAAATAAGTAAGAAGGCAAGAAAGGGCGCTCTTAATCAGAGTGACCCTACCTCCCTTGGAGAGATACTGCTTCTTCCAACCCGCCAACCTCTTCTCAAACCTATCCACCATAGGGTCCCAAACCCCAACACATCTAGACGAGGCCCCCAAAGGCATCCCTAAGTAAGAGATGGGAAAGAAACCAGTACGACAACCAAGAATATCAGCCAAAAACCCAATCTCAGGGACCTCTCCCACTGGCACCAAAATGCTTTTGCCCACATTCACCTTAAGGCCAGAAACAACTTGGAACCAAATCAGGACACACCTCAAATATCTAAGCTGGGACACATTCGCATCACTAAGAACCAAAGTGTCATCGGCAAACATTAAATGGGAGACCTCCAACTGAGGAGCAGCATCCCTGCCCATTTGAAAGCCTCTCAGAAACCCTAACTCAATAGCCTTACTCATCAACCTACTGAAGGCCTCCATCACAAACAGGAATAAGAAAGGGGAAAGTGGATCCCCTTGTCTTAAACCCCTCGAGCTAGAGAAAAAACCAGTAGGAGCACCATTCACAAGAATCAAGAAGCGAGCACTGGAAATACAAAAATGAATCCATCTCCTCCACCGATCACCAAACCCCATCATCTCCATCAGGTAAAGAAGGAAGTTCCAATTCACATGGTCGTAAGCCTTCTCCAGGTCAAGCTTACACAAAACTCCCGGGACCCTACTGCGTAATCGGGAGTCCATACATTCACTGGTAATAAGAACTGAGTCCAAAATCTGACGACCTCCCACAAAAGCATTCTGAGAATCAGAAATGACACCATCCAGGACTTTTCGCAACCTAGAAGCAAGAACATTGGCAATCAACTTGTAGAAACACCCCACCAGGCCAATAGGGCGAAAATCCCTAATATCCATCGCCCCTCCTTTCTTTGGAATGAGAGAAATGAAAGCGGCATTCAAACTCTTCTCAAAAGAACCCTGAGCATGGAAAGCATGAAATGAACCCATCACCTCCCCTCTAACCACCTCCCAGCACTCCAAAAGAAATCTCATGGTAAAACCGTCGGGACCTAGGGCTTTATCCCTGTTACAACTCTTCAAAGCAGAAAGAACTTCCTCTTCAGAGAAAGGCTCCTCAAGACCCGAGCATTCCTCACTAGAAATAAAGGCAAACTAAAGCCCCTCAAGCAAAGGTCTCCACTCAACAGTCTCAGTGAACAACTTCTCGTAGAACTCTAAAATGCCCTTGCAAATATCCTTCTCCTTGCATAGAAGCTCCCCTTCCACCTGAATCGTCCTAATATGGTTACCCCTTTATGAGCATTGGCCAATCTGTGAAAAAATTTCGTGTTACTATCCCCCTCCTTGAGCCACAAAGCTCTAAACTTTTGTCTCCACGAGATCTCCTCCATGATCGCAATCTCAGCAAACTCCACCTTACACTCCGCCCTCTGAACTTTCAAAGCATCAGCTAAATCCCCTTGACCCTCCATCCTATCAATATAACCGATCTCAACCAGAACCCGATTTTTCCTCCACACAAGATTCCCAAAGACTTCTTTGTTCCAAATCTTAATACTTCCATTCAAACGACGCAAATGATCTGCCAGCAAATGACTTGGGGTGCCAATCACCCCAAACCCGCCCACCAAGATCGGACCCTTTCCAGAAAACCCTCATCCCGAAGCCACATATTCTCAAAACGAAATGGAGAGCGTCTACTTCGCAACCCGCCACAATCCAGCATCAACGGGACATGGTCAGAGATAGGACGGGCCAAAGTATCTTGCATAGCATCAGAAAACATCTCCTCCCACTCCCCGAACACAAGGAACCTGTCAAGCCGAGAGAGAGTAGGGGGAAAGCGTCCACTAGACCAGGTAAAAGGCCCACCCTCCAGAGGCAGATCAATCAATCTAAACTGATCAATGAAATCCGAGAAAACCTCCATATCAGAAGTCCATCTACCCCCCGTCGATCTCTAAAAAGGAGATCAAACAATATTGAAATCCTTTCCAACACACCAGGGAAGCAACCATCTCCTTCGAACCTCCCCCAATTCCTCCTAAAGCAAATGACGCATACTATCCTCTGTAGGCTCGTAAACACCAGAAAGGACCCAAGGAAAACCATCATCTACCAAAGAAAACACACAGGAGACAGAGAACCTCCCAACATGAGAATCCACCTTAGACACCCATCTGTTATCCCACATGATCAAAATGCCACCCGAAGAGCCAACAGCATCCAAAACAACCCACTCCACAAATCTTCCACCCCAAAGACTACGCACCAACCTATCCGACGTCGAAGCGTGTTTGGTTTCTTGCAAACACACCACATGACCTCCCCCTTTACGAATGACCGACTTCACCACATTTCTTCTGACCGAGTCATTAAGACCCCAGATATTCCATAAAAGAATTTGTAGCTTCATGGGGAAACAACAGAATTAGAGAAACCACCCCTCCTACCACCATCACTCTCCCTGGATCCCCTGTTCCTCCTTTCGTAAGTGATAAAACTAGTAGGATTATGCAACACCGAATCACCCACCCCTTCCTGACTTCTGTCCTTGCCTCCCACCCTCTCCCTGAGTTGAGAATTGAGAACTCCCTAGAACAACTGCATCTCCTCATCCTCCCTGCCCTCTAAAGAAACTCCCAACAGAGAGCCCACTTCCATCCCATTCTCCCTCACCCACTCCTCCTCCACATCATTCACCTCTTCAGAAACAGAAGAACCTCTCATCCAATCCTCCTCCGGACGAACAACAGCCAAAGGGACAGCCAAGTTCACTGCTTGCTCAATGTTATTCCATTGAACTAAACCCAAATCCCCATCATGTGCAGAGCCAGCATTACCCTCCCAATCATCAAGGACAGAAGAGGAAAGGGAGCAATCAGTCATCAGTGAATCAAGTTCCTCCTCAAACTGGACAGATTTGGATGCCAAAAGATCCCGAAGCTCCTTCAACAAAACAGTAGCAGAAGCACCATTAATCTTCACCCTAACATTCCGTCCCACGCAAACCGTAACACCCTCACCAAAAAACTTTGAAAAATGAGCGAGGCTAAGCCCATTCGAGATCCGCCGTCATGACCAACATCTGACTCAAACACCGAGTCACTTTTACCAACCAGAACCAAGGAATTGGACACAGTGGCCACCCCACCCTTCTCCAACCCCAACGAGCTACTCAATCCCCTAACAGAAGGAGAAGGGGAAGAAGAGAAAGTATGGAGAAAAGAAGATCCAGAAAAAGCTGTGGACTTACCCGAATCAGAACCCGGTTGCGAAGACAGCACCCATTTCTGCTTGTCCTTTCGAGTCCACCTCTTACGAAGCGCAGGAAGGAAGACTTTCTTCTTAGACAGATGATGGTAATGCGCAGACTTACCTCGCCGATCCTCTCTGACGCTCGCGCTGAGAGAACCACATGGTTGAGAGCATCTTCCGTCCACTGAGGAAGACAAAGCTAACGACCCAAATCTGTTGCTCAACGCAACCCCAGAGCAAGAAGGGACTGAGTCCAGCCCATTCGTCGACCCAAAAATCTCGCCAACAGAAACATCATTAAGTGGCTGAGAAATAAGACCTCCATCCAGCCCACAAACCTTAGTCCCCTCACTCGGCCCACCAGAAAATTTAGAAACCTCCTTAGTCCCTTCAGTCCTTTTAACAACCGAAGCCCTACTCCACGGCCCAAGACCAAGCCCATCATCACCAGAAGGCTTTGGACCCTTCCTAGCCCAAGCGAATGAAACTGAATTTGGAGCAGAATTTGAAAAGAACGTGGGAACAGCTGGATTTGTCTTATAACGGCCATGTCCTGGATGCCAACCACGTGTATGGATAAAGTTCCTCCCCCGCTCGCGCGTATACTGCACATGAATCTCACCACGATGCCTTCTCTGATCCCAACTCTACAAAAAGACTGACGGCTGCTCCCGGTGAAACCTCCATCCCACTGATTCGACCGGAACCCAACTTGCCGACAACGATCCATCGTGAAAGAAGGACCTTCCCGCCGTTTCTGAGTGAACAGCCGTCTAAAACACTTCATATTCCGGATCCACAACGCATCCCTCCATTCTTTCCATTTTCTAAACTCAACCATCCCCTTCTCCCCTGACGATTCCCACCGCAACCATACCTTCTCCTTAAGCAGATGAGAACTATCACCCCCTTCCAAACTATCTGTCATCGGAACAAGCTCCGGAGGCTTCTCCTCCCAAATAGCCACCTTAAAGCAAAGCCGATCATCATGAATAAACACAAACGGAGGACAGACCTTGCCGTCTGCCACTGTGATACAGACTCTCTCAGCATCAACAGTTTCATCAGCGTCGACCCAAATAAAACCACCACATAAATCTCCGATCATCACGAACAGAGCATGGCTCCAAAGGTGAAGAGGGAGACCGTAAATCGAAACTTTCTTCAGCCCCTTCTCTTTCAGGACCTCTGAGCACCCCGCCCTAAAACTCCAAGCATCCACAGTCAGAGTTGCCTTTCCCCAGTCACGTCGACCCACTTTTAGCACACGAAAAGCCTCTGTCGGAGAAGGAATACGAAAGAGAAACAGAGAATCCGGCAACGACGAAACCCCCACACCAGAGGAGACGTTCCAAACTCTTGATGCCCAAGCAGCAATTTAAGCCCTATCACCCACATCCTTATCAAACTTTCCCACCAAATACGATCGAAGATAATCTCTTCTTGACCATCCCACACTAATACTTCAAGAAACAACCCTTCTAATAAATTCAAAACATGCAAAATCGCGGCAAAATGATTATTATATTGAAAATTTGAAAGGATAACCAAAGGCGATCTTTCAATTATAATTATACCCAGTAGGTTGTCAAATAAAAGTAGGTGACAATTGCGGTTCATGAATTTGTAAATATGTTTCATTTCTGAAAAGCACCGAGACCTTAGTTGTGCTCTTAGTAAATGAATTGCAATCTCATAATGCATGTCTTCCTAGTAAATAAGATATTGATAGCTAAATTAAACACCATTTCATGTCAAATTTCTGATTTTTACTTTCTACAGCCTTCGTGGCTATGAAGTAGTTCAATGCAATATACCGAAAGAAAAATGCTTTAAAATTCAGCAGTCTACTACAAAAATTCACCTGTATAGCCGTTGGGATCCAGCCCCAAGAAAGACGAACCCTTAGTTGACCAATCACGGTTCCCTACATCCTCTGGATTGCTTCTTCAGCAGATGCCCTGTAAAGACAAATATAAAGCAAAATAATAAGACAGAAAAGAGAAGTAAATGGAAGCTACTTTAGAAACAAAACAAAATAAATAAGAAATCATGTGGGAAAAAAAAAAGACTAGAATACCAACTCATTATTCAATTTCAAATACCCTTAGAAATTAAAATCTCAACTATATATTTGGATAGAGAATAGTGGATCTTGTTTTATCAATTTATCAAAGGAAATACTATGATTTTGTAGAATATCAAACCAAGATATTGATTTAGTAACTCGGTAATAATCGTTAATCTCTTCACAGTTTTTAATAATTATTTCACGATATATTGAGCAAGGTATAGTCTTCTCAATCACATAGAAAAAATATTCCCGACTTGCCAAGGGGTGTAAATGAGCCAAGTAACTATATTTTTTAGCACCGCTCAAGCATACTAAAAATCAACCCATCTAAATTCAAGTTTGGATCACTTTTCAGCAAAACAATCAAGAATGGGGGGCAGGTCATCAGATCAATGCATATCATGTTTAAGTTGTTGCATAAATGGTGCAGGGTGTTATCGATTTAAAAGGAAAGAGGAGGGCAGGGTGACATTATTCCACAATGGCTACTACTTCATTGAAAGAGTTGGAGCTGCCACATCAAGACATGATATTGTACAGCTTACATGATTTGTGATCCATATAATGAGTAGAATAAGTCCAGTGAGGTACACTAAAACATAAAATTTGATAGGAGCATTTCGTTCTTCTCTGAATTATTTTCTTGTGAGCTCAACACGTGTCATGTTTAGATTCTTATTAGCCACAATAGTCACAGCTAGTGAAAAATCTTATTATAGATAGGACAAAAGGGACTGTTCTACATATATAGCCAAGGACTTTTAATTTTATTATTTTACTTACAGCTTTACCATGCTCATGTAACTGATTTGATCCTGAGCACATCTGCTCCAAGTTGAACTCAAACCAAACCAAGCTACCTGGCTCAATTTACAGCCCATGACCTGCCACTTTCCACTTCTTGAACCAACTACTTGGTTTTAAATACAGAACTTCTCTTGCACATATAAAAAATAAAAAAAAAAAAAAAAAGGGTGTGTTTGCATATCATAGTCAGTCTAGGATATCTCTCAGTGGAGCTTTCAATTCTTAACATGTTATGAGAGAATTTAAATATATTTTTAGAGAGAACTTTGAGAATCAATCTAGGGCTCTTCATACATTACCATACTATATGTGATACGAGAGAATCAAAGCAAGAAACAAAATTGAAATTATCCATCAGAACATCAACCGAGTGGTTCAAAGGACAAGTTGATTGAACGTCACTAGTCATTAGAGAAGTCCATGGAGGAGCAGACTCTGTGAAAAGTGAGTCAGTCGATAAATTAGTGGCTAGGGGATCTGGAGAAATCTTGCGCGAGTCTAAGCTGGGAGGAACTACGTGATTCTTGGGTTAAAGTCTGGTAACTTAGTCTGTAACCTCTCATAATTGATTTTGATCAGCCTGGACTAAGTGCTGTGGTTTTTCTTTCTAGGATTTTTCAAGTAAAAGATATATATATATATAATATATATATATATATGATAAGTAAAATATATTAGAAAACATTCAAACGGGAACACGTCGCAAGAGCTATACAAAGTTCGAAGCCAGAGACAAGATCCTAAGGAACCACCGAACCCAAAAAATCAATAAACTCATCGATGGATATACAATTACTCCCCAAAACCCAACTAAAAAGAGATCTAATAATATGAAACTTCAAAGCCCTAGGAAAATTCCTCCCCTTCAAAAGATCTTTTATTCCGCAACTTCCATAAGCACCCCCAAGCACAAAGGGGAACCACCCTCCAACACTCACGGGCGTGGGCTCCCACAATACAGCCTCGCCAAGCATCAATCAAACCCCTCGAGGACTGACGCATAACCTAATGGACACTGAAAAGGCCGAAGATAAGGCTCCAACAGTCGTGAGCTACAGGGCAATGTAAAAGAAGGTGATCTATAGACTTTCCACTCCTCTTACACAAATAACACCAATTGATTGTAATATGTCTTCTGTTTCTCAAATTATCCAGGATCAAAATCTTACCCCAAATAGCAGTCCAGCCAAAGAAGGCCACTCTGAGGCGCATAATATACTAACTACTAAATTTTGAACAAGGACTAACGGTAGTTCAAAAAGTTGTTACAAATTAATATCCATGTTGAAGTTAGGGTTCAAAGTAAAAGAAATATAGAATACCGTGTTAGGAAATTTTGAGAGAGATCAATCTACGATCTACTCTCCCTTGTATATATATGATAATTGTTATTATAACAAAATGACTAATATGCCCTCACTAAAAATATAAAATAACCCATATACATTTTAACACTCCCGCTCAAGCTGATGAGTATAAATCATATAATCTCAGCTTGGAAAAGATAACCTTCAGCCGATTATGACTCAGAGCCTTAGTGAACATATCAGCAAATTGATCTTCAAACTTCACAAACGGAGCAGAGATGTTTCCACTCAATATTCTATCTCGAATAAAGTGACAGTCGACTTCGATATGCTTAGTCCTCTCATGAAACACAAGATTAGATGCAATGTGAATAGTTGTTTGATTATCACATAATAACGAAATAGGAGTTTTGACCATCAAACCAAGTTCCTCAATAAATTGTTGCAACCAAGTCAATTCACTACAGGTATGAGCCATTGCCCTATACTCAACTTCAACACTAGACCGAGCTACCACCGTCTGCTTCTTACTTCTCCATGTAACAAGATTACCTCCTAGAAAAGTGTAATATCCCATAGTAGATCTCCTATCTGAGGGAGAACTAGCCCAATCAGCATATATAAAACCTTCCACCCTGATATGTCCATTTGATCTATACAACAATCCAAGGCCTGGAGCTCACTTGAGATATTGAATAATTCGAAGAACAACATTCCAATGTGGCACTTTAGGAGCTCCCATAAACTGTCTTACGACACTAACTGCATATGAAATATCAAGCCGAGTAATGGTGAGATAAACCAATTTGCCAACCAGTTGTCGATATCTTCCAGGGTCATCCCTCAACAGGGAAGAGTGTTGTATTTGGATCCATAAGAACATCAACCAGACAACCACCTAACAAACCCGTTTCTTCTAAAAAATCCAGCACATATTTCCTTTGAGACAAACTTATACCTTCCTTAGATCTAGCAACTTCAATGCCCAAGAAATATCTAAGTTTAGCCAAGCCTTTAGTGTGAAACCGATTCAGCATAAACAACTTCAACCTAGCAATGCCTTTAGAGTCATCACATGTGATAACAATATCATCCACATACACTACAAGAAGGATGAAACCTGCTCCAGTATGTTGGTGAAATACTGAATGATCTGTTTGGCATCTGCCAAGACCAAATTCTAATGCTGCCTCAGAAATTTTTCCAAACCAAGCCCTTGAGGATTGTTTCAATCCATGTTGATCCTTCTTTAGGCGACAAACACTATAACGATACTCCCCCTGAGCAAAAAACCTAGGTGGTTGGTCCATATAGACCTGTTCAGCTAAGTCACCATGTAGAAAGGCATTTTTGACATCCAACTGAAATAATAGCCAATTAAGATTAACAGCAAGAGAAAATAAAACCCGAATTGAAGAAATCTTGGCAACAGGGGAGAATGTCTCATCATAATCAACTCCATATATTTGCGTATAACCCTTAGCAACAAGTCGAGCTTTTAACCGCTCAATAAAACCATCAGGGAGATATTTGATAGTATATACCCACTTACAACCAACAGGCTTGGGACCAGGAGGCAATGGAACAAGATCCCATATTCCATTACTATGTAAGGCATCCATTTCATCTTCCATTGCTTTCCTCCAACCCGAATCAGATAGAGTAGTAGATAGCTTGGAGGATGGCTTGTAAAGCAATACGGTAATCAAAAAATTAAAGTCTCTTCAAAAAATGTGATTAGTTTTACTAAGAATAGCCATTTAGATGTAAGTGGTATATGTGAAAGCTCAAATACATCCGTCCAACAAGAAACTTTATTCTGACCTAAATCTCAATAGTTTGAACCCTGAGAAATAAAGAATCGAAACCCTAGGCTCTGATATAGAGTTGGTGCAAGGCCCTAAGTAGATTTAGGGAGGGATGAATAGATCTTCTCCAATTTTAATTAACAATAACTGATTTTTATATTGCAACAATTATATTTAGAACGTAAAAATATGAATCAGTTATAGTGAGAAAAGACAAATAAATCAAACACACGTAAACGAAAGACGTGGGTTACTAGTTTTCCATTAGTGCAAACAAGAATAATTAGCGGGTTTAGGTAGGTTTAATGTGGCCCCCAGATATATACTTGCCAACAAACCCTACTCTAATCTTCCTGCAGTCATTTTCTCTCATTCGCTTCCTTTCTCTCTCAAACTTAGAATGTAGGTCTTTCATATTGTGGATTGAATTTCTTGGAAAAATATCTAAGTCCACGGTGAGGACAATTGATATAGACAAGAGTGAGGGGCGTGTAAGAGACAAAGGGTTTTCGATACTGGTTCTTCCTATCATAGTACATTTCTTCTTTATGACACATAATATTTGCTCGGATCTAATTCGACTTGAATTTAAAGGGTCTTTTGAGATTTGTTATGATGGCATGATGAATTAGAAAAAAGAGAGCTCTTCTATTTCAAATTTCCTAATTATATAAAATAATGGAGAGAGAGAGAGATGGATCTGTGTCATGCAAGCTTGGGTTGACCCATATATCCGATCCGGTTTAAAGTTTCAGGTTGATTGCAGGTCAATCACGTTTAGTCAACCCGTCTACACCCAAGTCACTTAATGCGGGTCAATATAGACTCAACCATTTTTTACCCACCCAAACCTGCCTGAATCCACCCATCTGCAAGGCCTAATTCAAAAATCTTTTATTTTTTTAATAAATCAGAATATGTATGCATGCATTTTGCCCTAAATGAGTTACGATAAGAAAGCATGATTACAAACCCTAATTGGTGAACTAATTATTCAAGAGGAGATTTTTCCTTTATACTCTTTGGTGTATCTTCAAATTTTAATTCTGCCATTGGACATATTTACAACCACTAACTAACTAATTGATCTAACTCTAAAAAATAAAAACAAAAGTTACAGACTCTGGCTTTTGTTGTGACATTTGCCAACACTAAGAACTAATCCTCACAAACCCTAACGAAACAAGAATTTTACAAAACTAAATCATTGGCAAATCAATAAACTCTTATTATTTCTAACTGGACAAGAATTCTACAAGCCAAACAAACCTGGTTGCAAACTGCACAAAACCACATCCATTAGTTGTAGGGATCTTGACATAGATAATTTCTCCAAATTGCAAAAAGATTGACCTCAGTTCCTCTTCTGTGAGGTTAGGATCTAGATTCCCAATATAAACCTGCAATGGAGAAAGGTAGTTAGAAAAAGAAATAAGACATAAAGCTCAAAATACACGAGAGTGCTGGACTTACTGTAGTGTTATTCATAGCATTGTCTACTGGGATTGTCTGCACTGGTGGAGCTGGAGCTGGAGCATAAGCTGTAGCTGGATATAAGGCTGCCGAGGATACCACAAGGTTAGTTCAGGCCGAACCTAGACATATAGAAGTTACTAAAGTATCAACTAAAGCATGAGAATTATGCATATGGATGCCAGGTCCTTCCCTCATTCCAGGACTTAATGTCTGTCAAGCCTGTTAATGCATCCTCAAAGCCCCATATAAAGACAAATCAGAAGTTATTTGTACTGATGTTCTAAAATTATCAACTTCGCTGTTGACGCAAAAGGTTATTTACCATCATATCATTATACCCTCAAGATTATCGACAAAATATAAATAGTTTCAATAAACCATCAAGATATCATTTGTTGGTTTCTTACTTGTAATCATATTTAAATTTCTTTTATTGCCATAAAGTTTCAACATAAATTTTTTTTTTTTTTTGATAACCATATTTGAATTTCTTTTATTGCCTTTAAGTTCCATAAAAAAAATCCAGATTGTTCTCAGTATCTCCTTTATCCGCTTCATTATGAACTTCAATGTTAAATCCTCTTGTGCTCTTACATTTTTATATGCTTAATAGGATAATTCTGTTCTCTTAGAGCTCACAAAAATTTAAAACCAAATTATCCAAGAGTTGGTTCCAACTAAAAGGTATCTAATAGGGGAATAAGAGATCATTTTCAAGTTTGTGAAAGGATTAGAGCGTCTCCAATGCTCTCTCAAACGTCCTCTCAAACTCAAAATATAGGAGATTTTGTTTTCTGATACACTCTAATTGTGGGCTATACACCCTCTCAATATATGAGATTCTCAAAACTTTTCTCATATATAGCAGGTTACTACAAGTTGAGAACTTCAAATGCTAAGCCTTTTTTTGGATTTTTGTGCAGGTATGGGCGGGAAAGTCACATGAAAAGGTAAGAATAATGCATTGATTAAAATAAGAAAAGTAATGGTCAGAGTGTCAGCACAATTGGAACAGAATTGCTAAAATATAGTAGCATTTGGATGAAATGCACCATTGGAACATAATTGCTAAAATATAACATTTTGGCACTATAGCTCCTCTTAAAATATAACTTTACCATGGAGAAATAGCATTTTGCATTGGAGATGCTCTAAGGGAGTTATACGGAGTCACAAAATAAAAAAAATAAAAAAAATAAAAAAAAAAAATATATATATATATATATATATATATATGTTACAACAAACTCTACGAAAAATAAACACACCACACAAAGAACACAAAGATTTACGTGGTTCGGCAAAGCCTACGTGCACAATGAAAATCCGGCGAAAGATTTTACTATGTGAAAAATTGGAGATTATAAGTTTCAGCCCCCAAACCCTAGCGCTCTTTCTCTCTCTCTTTCCTGTGGTTTTCAATGTTCTCTCATAATCCCACTCCAAACCCTGAACGCCCTTATATACCAAAGTATAAGAGAGTACTAAATAGGGTCCAAGACCAATAAGAGAAAACGAGTCCAAAAAAAAAATTTGCATTTCCCAGGTCGCATTGGCCGAAACAAAATTCAGGGCACAACATCACAATATATATATAAGTGGGCTATTTTCTATTTTATTTTTTAAGTACTATGAAGTTGCATCTTAGTTCAGACGACATATCAATTAAAAACTTATAATAGTAATCAAAATTTAATCAAAAAAAGACAACGAAGAAAGAGAGGGTGGGGGGAAGAATTGAATAGAATTGCCTCCAAACTCAAAATTATATTGAAGATCCATTTCAAGAAAGAGGGCAAAGGATATGGATCATAGTGGCAAAATACTAAGCGCCTTGTGACTGCTAAAGTTCCTTTAAGAGAATGTTAGCTGGTTTGAATCAGTATCGATCATCCCCTTAGAAGTGATATTGATGCTTTGAAGCAGCAGTGAGAGGATTTTAAGTGTCAAAGTTTCTTTAGGGACTAAATTCCATCATCAAGGCATTTAAGAACAGATATTAGTTGGTGTTGGGAATATCCTTTGTCAGCAATGCTTATGGAGCTTCCCACTGTTTAATATGGCCCTTCAATTTCCTTAGTTCCTGACTATGAGTCAAAAAAATTCTGCTTTGATAGTTCGACTGGTCAACAGGGTTCTTTTTGTGGTACTACTAGCAGTTTTAGAGGTAGTAATGGTCTTTTGCTGCGGATTTAGAGGTCAAAGTGGTACTCTTAGTGCAGCAGAGATCCCGGTAGAGGTCATAACTGTTGAAGAGGTTGTGGGTGAAGGAGAGGATCACAATTGCATTTATTTTGGGTGAATTTCATATAATAGACCATTCTTTTGATGATTAGCACCTCTTAAGTTAAGGTTATCACAACAACCAGCTCAAATTTCATCCGTGTTTGTACATCTAATCAGCAGGAAGTGAATGCCACCACAGTCCAACTACTGTTTTAGGAAGGGAAAGAAGGAGAAAGAGGAAGAGAAAGAAATGGAAGTTTACCTTGGTCATCTAACTTGGAAGTTAGGTCTCTCAACTGTGTTATGGTGGCAAAGAGGAAGAAAACTCGAACCGTCCCAGTCTGAAAGAAAACTAATTAGAGAAACCCTAATTGGACTCCTATGAATGCTTAAGGACTGAAAAAATATAAGCAGTTTTACTTCCCAAACAGTTTAGGAATTTTAAAACCCACAAAACAGACCCATAACACGATCAAACTGCCAGCTATACATGACACGTATTATAAGATATGGTTTATAAATATTGAATGAAAACAGAGCTTTACTAGAAAGTGAATGAACAAACTAAGAAAAGGAATGATGAAACATCCTTTCAAGTAGACAAAATCACATAATAGATTACAACAATATATGTTCTAACAGATCCTCCACAACCTCATGTAAAGCAATCTATTTTCACAAGGAACTGAATGACCAATCTGCAAGATGGGATTACCTTGTTTCTTTTTCTTTTCTTGGTAGTTGACATAGTTTACTTTAATAACCATAAGTAGAAGTTACCTTTAGCTAGGAAAAAAAAAAGTCGATGTTACCTCTAGCTGCTGCATATTGCTGTTGAAAATCAGTAGTCTTCTTCGGTATTGCAATAATACGCATTGGCCTCGTCGGACAATAGACACCATTCATTTCAGTCACGGCACGGTTTCTTTCCATCTCATCAGCAAAGTAAACAAAACCAAATCCCCTTGAGCGCCAAGTATATGGATCAGTTACAACCTTGGCACCTTTAACAGATGGATAATGAGTCCAAAAGGTCTCTTGCAACAAGTAATCCGTGACATCAGATGCCAAGTCCCCAACAAAAATAGAATGCTCAGTCCCAGCAACAGGACGTCTCTCTCCAATCCCAAAAGATGCCCAATTTAACCTAAAATTTTGTTCAGTCCCAGGCATTTGTGTCCCATTGTATGACTGCAGAATCCTTTCAGCTGCTGCATGTGAAGCAAACTCCACAAACCCATAACCTTCTGGCTGGCCAGTGATCTCGTTACGTATTATTTTATTTGAAACCATCTGCATAGAGTTAGGTAGCCCATTTAATTTGTGCAATATTACATTAACTAATTAGCTAAAATGCTGAAACATGAACATCTCTCCTTCTTCTGAACCTGTTCCCATTCCCAAGAAGAAGAAGAAGAAAAACAAAACAAAACTTGTTTCCATTCAGGTCACAAGCAGTGATGTGTGCCACCATAAAAGGGTTGGCATAGTAGTAAGCTTTTTCTCCTAATATTTCAATGTTTAGAATATGGCAAATCAATCACTATGTTTCAACCAACATCTTTTTTCTTGAATCCTCGACCCTCTACTTTGGAATGGGAGGAAGCACCACTAATTCCAGTAATTAAGTGCTACTAATTCCAGTTCCACTAGAATCTTTGGATGCATGCCATGATTTAAGGCCCTAAACAGTTGAAAGAGAATATGTATTTGAGTTGAAATAATAGAAGCCAATTGATTAGCCATAAAGATTTAGGGCCAAAAAAAAAGATCTACACTCCATAAATTTTTACAGCAAGCTAGTTTTTCCATTTATTGAAATTTCTTCTCTTATACTGGTGAGAATAAATTTTTCATGATAGAAATTCATTAATTCATAGAAGCAAATAATCTATTTTTAAGGTCTAGTCTAAGTGATATGCTATATCTTGTATCCATTGAGAATAATATATCTGTGTTTGATTTTTCTTAGATTTTTTTTTTTTTTTCGATAAGTGATTTTTCTTCGAACTTAGAAAAAGATAATAGAATCATCAGCCCCTTCCAGTGTAACTATGTTTCTTTCAAACTAAACATATGACTGCAAATTTAAATTTTGAAGGGAAAAAAAAAAAAAGTTGCCGTGCAGGACCATTGCTTGGTGCACTGGTAAAATGTTCGGCTGTCAAGTGCAAGAACGCGAGTTTGAGTCTCGAGAGCAACCACTTTGTGCAATTCACAAAACGTCGGGTAGACCCTTCAAAAATAAGCCAAGTGCGAGCTCAACTTCAGGGCCATAAAACAAGCCAAGCCATAACATGCTCGGGCTTGGCTCACCCCAGCTTGTGAACTAGAAAAGATTGTACTTTTAGCTTTAACTCATCAGGAATATTTCTGTGAATGGTCAGTATTCATCCACGTTATAATTTTCCAGTCGGCTCCTGTTCTTCCATGTCTACCACTTTAGAGACATTAAATAAATAAAATCTACTTATCAAAAAATAAATAAATAAATAAATAAAATCTAAAGGTCATAATCCACGAAAATCCAAACTTGTTCTCATTCTAAGCCCCCTACCTAAGCCATCAAAACTACGCCCAACTCCTCTTTAACCAAGGACTTAAACACCTTTAAAAGACCTCCATTATTGAAAGTAGTTTGAGTGATAGTCATCAAAAGAAGAGATCTAGCTTTTGTGAAAGAAGAACTAAATAAGCAAGTTAGGTTGCTTTTATTTTCCTACGAGGAATACACACATCCTCATGTCCTACCTCTCGCACTTGGGTGAACAAATATCACTAAAGTTAAGACCAAGTGCTTAAGGTCTTTTCTCTATATAGCATATCTTGCAAGGAATTAAATGTTGATATTTTTTGTTCCATGTAGCTAGAATGACTTTGTTTCTATTACACATGGGTTTTTTTGTTTTTTTTCCCTCCATATCTATTATCCCTGATATTTCAAAGCTGCAGTTCTCTGTAATTTTTTGTAATTATTATTATTTACTTCTTTTTTGGCCTTAAAATTGAGGTAAGCCAATCCTTGCCAAGGTCACGCTCATCAAAACTACATCAGCCAGGTCAGGTTACATAACATGTTAAGACTTTTCCAGGTCCAAGCCAAAGCCTGAGCACACACCCAACCTGACCAAGTCATGCCCAAACAGCATAGTATTAATTGTGTTATAAACAATTCCACATCATCAACAAAAATGGAAAATCCTCCACGGAGTTACATAGATATTCAGAGAAGTAGAAGAAAAAAAATGGATTTAATGGATCACGTTGCTTTGGTTTTCTAATAAATGAGAAACTAACAACATGGTTCTCCAACTCGGCCGAGTTGCAACGGAATTTGCCTCCAACGAGACTGAGTCGGGCCGATAGAGGAGGGAGAGTCCAGACGCTCGTGACATGGGATGACTTGGAAAGGAACCAGCGCATATCGGGGTGACTTGGGGCAACTCAGGGTGCCTCGGGCAGTGGAGGCTCACTAACACAGGGAATCGGCTGTGATGATAAAAAATGAAGACCCAACTCATTTTACACCATTTTCTCACCCTTTATTCTCACTCTACCAGCATTCTCTCTCTCTCTCTCTCTCTCTAAAACTAAGAGAGAAAAAAAAAAAAAGACCCTTGAATTTGAGCCTCAAACATCAAAATCAATAAGATTTAGCTTAGACCTTAAATCAAACACAACCCGAACAAGACTTAATTGGCGAGTTTTCATATTTTTTCTTCCACGTCAATCCTAGTATTGTATTAGTCTCTTCTCACTTGATACTATGTTGTTGTATAATATATTAATGTGTTTTAAGTGATTAATTTTTATTTATTTCATGTTAAAGTAAATTATTTATTAAACATTTATTGCCAATAGTCAATAAATGATCTTTAAAAAATCCATAAAATCATTAAAATTAATTAAAAACACGTATTTATTGGATTATGTAGTAGAAATTTGTGTATCAGTATGTTTTGGGCCCTATGTGCAAGGTTAAAAGAATTCACAACCGCAGCGCCAAATTTGGTACGCTATGCCCTATACGGGCCTCGCATCTGCAATTGCAAACTAGTCCTCGCACCAACTAAGACAAATAGTTAGAAAAATATGTTGTGCTTGCATTCAAAATAGAATGACCCAAAAAGATTTAAATCCAAACACCCCCACCCTTATATTGTTACCGATGTCAAGCACATGTACGGAGTCAATGCTTTTTGTACATATACAAAATGTATGCAACGATGATTCAAGAAACCATAGATGCATTTGCAAATCTAATACCAGTTCTATGTAGATGTATAGTACTTAGTGGAAAAACTTGAATGGTAGACACTTATTGGTTGAACAATCAATTAACGCACCTTTAAGTCGTAGCACAAACATTGACACAGATGCACCAATATATCAAATCCTCGAACACGATATCATACAGATAAGTCAATATAGAAAATCCTAAAAAAGTACAGAAATGGTGTGGACACATAAATAAAACTTGATCGCGGATATCAATTATATAAGACAATTACAAAAATTTGATTAATTTTTGAACTTCTATGCTAAGAATTGCATAATATAGTGTAATGTAGTTGACAAAAAACTTTGTTGAATTGATTTAAGTTGAGTTACCATGATCTCTTTTGATGTTGGTCTTCGCACCCACGGATTAAACATCACCAAAACTATGGCCTATGTTACATGGACTTGGGTACTTGTGTCGGGTATGGGTGCAGGTACGTCTCCATGCGTCGAATGTGTCAAATTTTCGAATAGGACACATGGACACGGCTAAATATTTATTTTATTTTTTTATTTTATTTTATTTTCTAGATTAAATGTTTTTATGTAAAAAAGTGTTCAATATAGGTATTTAACTCATTTTAAAGTAATAATATAATAAAATTGAATAATGGGATATGCTTTTTAAGTAAATGTCCAACCAAAAGTGTCAGACACATATCTCATACCCATGTCTAAGCAAATATGTGGCCGACGCCGGTACTTCACTACTTTTGAAGAGTCCATGTAACACAGGTTATGGTAAACTTACCTTGAGGTTCGGCTAGAACTACAATTGAACCCTAATATTAAATATCCATTAGTGTCGCAAGAAAATTTACGTTGAATGCCAAGATTACCCTTAATTAGAATGAAATTACACAGTTACGGAGATACCCCTCTAATCTTTCTAATAATAGATTTATCCTTGTGATACACTGATACCCCGCGGTCCCTACCCAATTCACTTGTCTAATTCCGCCGTCATCGCAACCATGCACCTCCATAGTTTGCGTTCTCCTCCCCATGAAAATTCTGATAAAACCCTTGTTTAGTGCTTTGTTCATTAAGATCAAAAGGCACCAAACATAAACAGTGGTTCTTTGTTTAGTGCTCTCTTCATTTCTGATAAACCAAGGGTTCAGTGAAATCTCGAGTGCACTGTTCCTTGTTTCATTATTTATTGTTCAAAAACAACAAACAACATTGTTTATTGCACTGGACATTTTCTTTGATATCAACCTCAAAAATTCCACCAGCAGAACACCAAAAAAGAGAATTCCAATCATTATATTAATTAGAGTGAAAGCCTCTACCAGCAACTTCTATGTTCTTTGAAATCAACCCAGGCATATCCTTCACTAAAATGAAATGCGAGAGAGCCTGACCTTGCGCAATATTCCATTTATTTCACCAAGTGAGTGGGCTAGAATCTCTGCGCCATGGACATAAATAGTGTATGACTGTGTCAAGATCTGCCTCAATGATCAAAACTGTTGCACTGTCATCAATCCCTTTTGTTCTCTCCTTTCACTTTTTCAATATTCTCTCTCCTCTCCCATATTTCTCTTCTCTTAGAGAGAAAGCGAGAAAGGATAAGATGTAAAGAATGAGACAATGATGATGGTTGATGGTGGTGGCAGAAGTAGGCGGTCATGGCTGAGGTTTCAGAAATCAGAAAGTCGATTGTACGGATCGTGTACAAAAGAAAAGGGTATGTGAGAGAGGGAGACTTTATTTCTTAAAAACAAAAATGATTTATGCTCTTCTGAAGATCTAGGGCCCGTGGAAGGCTGTTTGGTGTTCCAAGCCCCCCCCTAAAAGATTTTTTTTTTTTTTTTTTTTTTTTTTGTGGACTGCCGTATTGTGGAGGATCCTGATGCTGGATTCCTGAGAAGGAGAAGAAAGGTCGTAGTAATTGGTTCCGCATGTGTAAGAGAAATGAGGAGACTGTTGGTCACTTTTTGTTGCATTGCCCAGTGGCTTAGGATTGCCGGAGTTCATTGTTGGGATTGTTTGGGGTGCTGTGGGTTATCCCTCACTCCTTGCAAGGACTGGTTGAGGCTTGAAGAGGGTGTATAGCGGGTGCCCAAGCTTTTTGGAGGGCGCATGTGTGTTTTGTGGTGGTTATGTCTAGAACGTAATAGGAGATCTTTTGAGGGAGCAAGTTTTCTATTCTTAGCTCACTTTTCTTTTGGGTTCTTGGGAGAAATTGTAAATCTATAAAGGAGATAGTTGATTTTTTAGACTCTTTGAGAGTTTAGGGGCCCTATTAGGCCTTGTTTATTTTTTGTGGGATGCATTTCCCGTTTGAACGCTTTCTATTATATCTTTACTTATAAAAAAAAAATACTAATAAATAAAAAAATTCTCAATTTGCATGAACTGCTATGGAATTTTAGGGCTTTAACTCTAACAGGGGTGTTAGAGTAACATTTATGAAAGTTTAATCTGTGGATGTAGGTGACAAGCTTCAAGAGAGGTCGTGATAATTTACCCTATGTTATATATGTAATTGCTACTCTCCTACTATGTTTTGTCAATAACTACATTCTTTACCCTATATTAGAAAGTGTTTATTGCACACTTGATTTGTGGGGGTCATGTACACAATGCTAAAATTTTTAAAAGGTAAAGGACAGCCACTTCAGGATAGTTCATCTTATTTCCAAGATTGTCATGACACTTTTTTTATGATCATTTGCTATCGGCATCTAAGATGTGACAATTAGGTGTCCAAAATAATAGTTTATTTGAGATTGCATATGCATTCATGAGATGTCAACACTTGCTTTCTATAAGTGACCGTGCTTCTTATCCCAAGCCCAATAGTGAAAAATTTTAACATAAATAGAAAATTCATTCCTATATCCATATACATAAAGAGACACGTATCAATCACAAATGGGATGAGGCATATGCAAGCACTGAATGGTTAAGAGATGATGCGTGTATGTATTGCATTCTTCCAGTCCAAAAATGCTCATCTTTAATGTATATATTTCCATTCAGAGAAACAAGGGCACGATGTAAAAGTAAAACTACATCAATTCTAACAATTGATGAACCCAATTACTGAAACGTAGCTAAGTGATTTGAAAATCAGTATATATTTTCAAATTTAGAGACAAAATGAACATGCTAGACTCAAAGGGTACAGAGTAAACTACAAAGCAAGGAAGCTAAGTATCTATCTATCTATGTATATAGTCTGAAGAGAGAGAACGAATGGGACCTCGCCGGTGTGACCCAAGCAGTAATAGAGGTAGGCTTCGTCGCACCAGTACTGTAAATCGCCAACCCTAAGGGTACGGAATTCTTCGAGCGAGGTCGGGTGATGGTACGGTTGTGAAGATGATGTAATGGCCGTTGGTATCTGGCGTTGAGCCTGCGCGCTCATCATCCATTGCTGGTGTTGCTGTGCCTGTGCATCCATCACTCTCATTCTCTCTCTCTCTCTCTCTCTCTAGCTACACAGTTTCTCTTTCTCTTCTTCGCGCCTCAGTTCTCAGCTTTCTCCCTCTCTTGTAGGCTTGTAGCTCTGAGGGGGCTTCACCCCTTTCTTCTTATTTGGCACACCTGAGACAGAAGGAACAGCTAGAGCGACCAGAGCACTTCGTTCCTCACAAAAAAGAGATCCACAATCTTTACCATTTCTATCTATGAAATTTCTTGCGAGGTCCTTTTCAAGGGCGAAGAAAAAGCTCCCACGGATCAGAAGGAGAAGGGTTTCGAATTAAACCCGAAGGAATGTGTGTCATAGGGCTGCAATACTCCGTTCAAACCACCGCAATTCAAATACGTAGTAGTTAATAAGTCTTTAAAATAAAATAAAATAAAATAATCCTTACAAATGGGTAATAATAAGTACTAATAACCATCTCCAAAGGCAAACACGTTTTTTCTTTTTCTTTTTCTTTTTTTATTCCCGCCGTTATAGAAGGACTTGGAAACGGGATTTTTTCAGGATTAGGCAATCTCTACTAGGCTTATTTTATTTTATTTTTTTTTTTATTTTTTTTTTTAGTTTAGTTTAGTTTAAAACATTGAGGTGGTTTTGGACTTAAACAACCCCAATACATTATTGATTTTTTTTCATTTTAGTCGCCGAATGGAATCCAATTACTGAAATTAAAGTCTGGATTTTTTCAGGATTAGGCAATCTCTACTAGGCTTATTTTAATTTTTTTTTTTTTTTTTTTTTTTAGTTTAGTTTAGTTTAGTTTAGTTTAAAACATTGAGGTGGTTTTGGACTTAAACAACCCCAATACATTATTGATTTTTTTTCATTTTAGTCGCCGAATGGAATCCAATTACTGAAATTAAAGTCTGGAGGTGGTTTTGGACTTAAACAACCCGATACATTATTGATTTTTTTCATTTTAGTCGCCGAATGGAATCCAATTACTGAAATTAAAGTCTGCCTATGTTGTTACCTGCTCAGAACAGTCATATTTGATTGTATTTGTAAATTTTTGCATTATGTCACATTCTTTTAGAAAATAACTCAAATACTGAAATAAAAAGATATATTGTTCATTTTTTTTATTATTATTTATAAAAATAAAACAACCAAATATTTTCCTAGTATCTAGCTACATGAACCATGTATTTTTATTTCATTCTACTTAAAGATTATAACCTCAGTGTAATACTCGTAATTTATGTATATATAAAATTATATATCTATATCTATACTATTATTAAATGTGTTTCAGTATTTATTTATTTATATAAAAAATATATATATTAATTGATATAAAAATAGTTTTTGTAAAAATAGTTTCTATAAAACTTTAAAAATTACCTAATAAAATCAATCACATTCTATATAAAACTCTTATTTTTAGTTTTTTTTATGAATAATTATAGTTTCTATAAAACTCTAAAAATTACCTAATAAAATCAATCACATTCTATATAAAACTCTTATTTTTAGTTATTTTTTATAGATAATTATTACAATATAACTGGCCCGACCAATTATGATTATGTCATTATCAGAAAAGGATACATGTCATCATCCTATTCATTCAAGAAGCCTATAAATAGAGGCATGGAGGAAGGGGTACAGAAATTGAGAAATCTAGAAATCCAGAATTCCAGGGTAATTTCAGTATTTATTTATTTATATAAAAAATATTTATTAATTGAGTTGAATTTCAGAGTAAATTATAAAAGTTCTGTCAAGAGTTTTCAGTATTTATTTATTTATATAAAAAAATATTTATTAATTGATATAAAAAGAGTTTTTATCTATATTATTATTAGATGTGTAAAGAGTTTCATTATTTATTTATATAAGAAAAATATTTATTGAATGATATGAAAAGAGTTTTTACTAAAACAAAAAAAAAAAAAAAAAAAAAAAAAAAAAAAAAAATCTATAAAACAGTAAAATCTACATAATAAAATTTAAATTAACCTATTTATCTATTTATTATTATCCATTTTTAATAAAAGAAAATCTAATTAGACAAGATTTATTAATATAAAAAAATATTTATTAATTGATGTATAAAATAAAATAATTTTTATAAAACTCTACCACAAATTAGCTTTTATTATGAGTATCTTAATAAAATTAAAACTAATTAGACAAGTATATATTTAAAGAAAATAAAATAATTTTAATAAAACTCTATTACAAATTACCTATTCTATTATCAATAAAACTCTATCAACAAATATATATTTAAAGAGTTTGTATAAAACTCTAACACAAATTACCAATTTATCAATTAAACAAATTTAATAAAAAAATATTTATTAATTGATATAAAAAAAGTTTTTAAAAGAGTTTATATTAAACTCTAACACAAATTACCTATTTCTTTATTTATTACAAGTTTTTTAATAAAAAAAAATATAATTTACCTAATAAAACCAATCACATTCTATATAAAACTCTTATCTTTAGTTTTTTTTTTATGGATAATTATAATTTTTATAAAAATCTAAAAATTACCTAATAAAATCAATCATATTCTATATAAAACTCTTATTTTTAGTTATTTTTTATGAATAATTATCACAATATAATCGGCCCAGCATTATGTCATTATCAGAAAAAGACACATGTCATTATCCTATTCATCCAATAAACCTATAAATAGAGGCATGGAGGAAGGAGGAAGAGGTACAGAAATTGAGAATTCTAGAAATCTAGAATTTCAGAGTAAAATACAGAAGTTATGTCAAAGAGTTTCAGTATTTATTTATTTATATAAAAACAAATTTATTAATTGATATAAAAAGAGTTGAATTTCATAGTAAAATACAGAAGCTTTGTCAAAGAGTTTGAGTATTTCAATATTTATTAATTTATATAAAAAAATATTTATTAATTAATATAAAAAGAGTTTTTATCTATAATATTATTAGATATGTAAAGAGTTTCAGTATTTATTTATTTATGTAAAAAAAAAATTATTAAATAATATGATAAAACATTAAAATCTACCCAATAAAATTTAAATTAACCTATTTATCTATTTATTATTATCAATTTTTTAATAAAATAAATCTAATTAGACAAAAATTATTAATATAAAAAATATTTATTAATTGATATATAAAAGAAAATAATTTGTATATAACTCTACTATGAGTTTCTTAATAAAATTAAATCTAATTAGACAAATATATATTTAAAGAAAATAAAATAATTTCTATAAAACTCTATTACAAATTACCTATTTTATTTTCCATAAAACTCTATCAACAGAGTTTCAATAAAACTCTAACACAAATTACCTGTTTATCTATTTATTATGAGTTTTTTAATAAAAAGAAACCTAATTAAACAAATATTATTAATATAAAAAATTATTTATTAATTGATACAAAAAGAGGTTTTAAAAAAAATATTAAAAAACTCTAACACAAATTACCTACTTATCTATTTATTATTAGTTTTTTAATGAAACTAAATGTAATTAGACAATAATTATTAAAATAAAAAAATTTATTAATTGATATAAAAAGAGTTTTTAAAAGAGTTTATATTAAACTCTAACACAAATTACCTATTTATTTATTATAAGTTTTTTAATAAAAGAAAATCTAAGTAGACAAGAATTATTAATATAAAAAAATATTTTTAAATGATATAAAAATAAAATAATTTTTCTAAAATTCTACCACAAATTACCTTTTATTATGAGTTTTTTTTAATAAAAGTTAATCTAATTAGATAGGAATTATTAAAATATAAAAATAATTATTAATTCATGTAAAAAGATTTTAAAAATATTTTGTATAATACTCTAACACGTATTACAAATTACAATTTTTTAATAAAAGAAAATATAATTTTCAGAGTAAAATACAGAAGTTCTACCAAAGTGTTTCAGTATTTATTTAATTCTATAAAAAAATATTTATTAATTAATATTTAAAAAAAAGATTTTATCTATGCTACTATTAAATGTGCAAAGAGTTTCAGTATTTAAGTATCTATTTATAAAAAATATATATATTTATTAATTGATATGAAAAGTATATATAAAAAAAAAAAAAAAAAAAGAACTCTATCAAACTCCAAAATCTATCTAATAAAATTTAAATTAACTTATTTATCTATTTATTATTATGAATTTTTTAATAAAAGAAAATTGAATTAGACAATAATTATTAATATAAAAAATACTTATTAATTAAAATATAAAATAAATAATTTTTCTAAAACTCTACCACAAATTAACTTTTATTATGAGTTTCTTAATAAAATTAAATTAAATTAGACAAGGATATATTTAAAGAAAATAAAATATTAAATGTGCAAAGAGTTTCAGTATTTCTGTATTTATTTATTTATATAAAAAATATTTATTAATTGATATGAAAAGAGTTTTTATAAAAAATAAATAAATAAAAGAAGAAAAAAAAACCTCCATAAAACTCTAAAATCTACCTAATAAAATTCAAATTAACCTATTTATCTTTTTATTATTTTGAATTTTTTAATAAAAGTAAATCTAAAGTTTCAGTATTTATTTATTTATTTAAAAAATATTTATTAAATGTGGAAAGAGTTTCAGTATTTCAGTATTTATTTATTTATATAAAAAAATATTTATTTTTTGATATGAAAAGAGTTTTTATAGAAAAAAAACTTCTATAAAATTCTAAAATCTAACTAATAAAATTCAAATTAACCTATTTATTATTATGAATTTTTTAATAAAAGAAAACCTAATTTTCTGAGTAAAATGCAGAAGTTGTGCCAAGGTGTTTAAGTATTTATTTATTTATATAACAAAATATTTATTAATTGATATAAAAAAAGTTTTTATCTATGGTATTATTACATATGCAAAGAGTTTCAATATTTAACTATCTATTTTTATAAAATAAAAAAATAAAAAAAAATTTATTAATTGATATGCAAAGAGTTTTTATATATATAAAAAAAAATGTCAATCAAACTCTAAAATCTATGTAATAAAATTTAAGTTATCTATTTATCTATTTATTATTATGAATTTTTTAATAAAAGAAAATCTAATTAGACTTGAATTATTAATATAAAAAATATTTATTAATTGATATATAAAATAAAATAATTTTTCTAAAACTCTAACACAAATTAACTTTTATTATGAGTTTCTTAATAAAATTAAATCTGATTAAACAAGGATATATTTAAAGAAAATAAATTAATTTTTATAAAACTTTATCACAAATCAAAAAAATTATTTTTAACAAAACTCTATCACAGTAGATAAAGATATAATATTTAAAGAGTTTCTATAAAATTTTAACTCAAATTTTCTCTTTATCTATTTATTAAGTGTTTTTTAATTAATAAAAGGAGATCTAATTAGACAAGTATTATTAATATAAATAATTATTTATTAATTGTTCTAAAAAGAGTTTTTAAAAGAGTTTCTATAAAACTATATCACAAATTACCTATTTATTTATTGATTATGAGCTTTTTTAATAGAAGAAAATCTAATTAGAGAAGCATTATTAAGATAAAAAAAAATATTTATTAATTAATATAAAAAGTGGTTTGAAAAGAGTTTCTATAAAACTCTAACACAAATTAACTATTTATCTATTTATTATGAGTTTTTTAATAAAAGGAAATCTAATTAGATAAGAATTATTAATATAAAAAAATATTTATTAATTGATATAAAAAGTGTTTTTTAAAGAATTTCTATTAAACTGTAATACAAATTACCTATTTATTTATTTATTATAAATAGATTTTCAGAAAATAATAATTTCTATAAAACTCTAACACAAATTATCTATTTTATTTTCTTTAAAACTCTATCACATATAACTTGTTTTTATCTATTTATTGTGAGTTTTTTTTTATGAAGGAAATCTAATTAGACA